CCCTTGGTAGAGTGCTCTGGCATCACAGCTCACAGCAACCTCAAAGTCTTGGGCTTAAGCAATTCTCTTGCCTCAGCCTCCCAAGTAACTGAGACCACAGGTGCATGCCAACGCTAGGATTTTATTGAGAATTTTTGCATCTATATTCCTTAGTGAGATTGGTCTGAAATTCTCCCATTTTAGTTGGGTCTTTTCCTGGTTTTGGTATCAGGGTGAGTTTTTGTTTCATTAATTTTCTGTATGATTCTCTTGTTTTCAGTTTCATTAGTCTCTGATTTAATTTTGGTTATTTCTTTTCTTCTGTTGGGTTTAAGATTATATTGTTCTTCTTTTTCTAATTCTGTAAGATGGTTCATGAGTTTGTTGATGCACACTTTATGTTTTTCAAATGCAGGCATCCAATGTGATAAATTTCTTTCTTGAGACTGCTTTTGCTGTATCCCACAGGTTTTGGTAACTTGTGTCTTCATTGTTGTTATGTTTGAGGAATTTCCTCTTTTATCTCTTCCTGAAGCCAACTGTCATTCAGCATAAGGTTGTTTAATTTCCAAGTCTTTGTGTGGGGATGAATGTTTTTGTTGGAGTTGAGTTCTACTTTTATTGCCTGTGGTCTGAGAAGATAGAAGGTATAATTTTTATTCTTTTAATTTTGCTGAGGTTTGATTTGTATCCTAAGATGTGGTTAATTTTGGAGTACGTTCCATGGGCTGACAAGAAAAATGTATATTCCTTAGCTTTGGGATGGTGTGTTCTGTATATGTCTGTTAATCCCCATTTGTTCTAGGGTCACATTTAAGTCCTTTGTATCTTTGTTTAGTTTCTGTTTAGAGGGTCTGTCAAGTTCTGTCAGAGGGGTTTTAAAGCCCCCTACTATTATGGTGTTAGGGGTTATCATATTGCTCAGACCCATCAAGTTTTGTTTCACAAATCTGGGAGCATTTAAATTGGATGCATAAATATTTAAAATTGAAATATCTTCTTGTTGTATTATTCCTTTGACCAGTATAAAGTGTCCATCTTTGTCTTTCATAACTTTAGTTGCTTTAAATCTACTTGTATCTGAAAATAAGATTGCAGCCCCTCCTTTTCTTCTGATTTTCATTTGCTTGAAATACTATTTTCCATCCTTTAACCCTGAGTCTTGATTTGTCCTTCAAGGCTAGGTGTGTCTCCTGGAGACAGCATATGGATGGCTTGTGCATTTTAATCCAGTTGGCCAGCCTGTGTCTTTTCAGTGGTGAATTCAGTCCATTGACATTTATTGAGAGAATTGATAAGTGTGATGGAGTTCTATTCATCTTTGTGAAAGTCCCTTGTGTAGTTTTATCTTTTGGCACCATTGTGGAAGCTAAGTATTTCATATAGAGCTGGTCTTGTTGTGGCAAATTTCCTCAGTGCTTGCATATTTGCAAAAGATTTGATTTGATTGCTTCATCAATTTTGAAGCTTACTTTAGCAGGATACAGAATTCTGAACT